GACACGGATGACGTCATAAATTTTGGCGACTAATTCTTCAGTCAATTTTATTAATGTCCATGTGAAGCCGGTAAATGCCGGATTAATACTTTTAAATTTTTGGATGCAGGTAGCTCAAAACAGTGGACAACTCACTTTTCATCTTTCAGAATTTTCTGGACTTGTTTAAAAATAATTGGTTATTTTTACCAATATCTTGAAATCCAGTCCTGGATTTGCTGACCGAAGTAGTCACTTTCAGAGTGTATAGTCTATGCTTTCTTTCAAGAGCGCTCTAGCTTTATTCCAGTTGAAGTTGGTATCTCTGATAATGAAGGGCCGGAAGCCGTCTGCCATTCTTGTTAGGATTTACTGATTCCGGTGGAATTTCATCTATTTTTCCATCATCAATGGGTGCTGTTTCCATGGATTCTGGTTCAGCAGTGCTGGGATCATCTACACTACGAATTGAGAGGTTTTCCTCCTTTTATAATATTTTAAAATCACGCGCGAGAATTTTCTAGTACTTTCTCGAAATCAAAAAGAGATATTTATTAAATGTTACATGCACGCGCTCTTGTATTTTCAATTTTCCGGCTTAGCTTTCTTTTAATATTCGTCCCGCGCTGCACTGCGCAGGAAATAAAACCATTTAATTTACAATTCAACTAACATAAGCTTTTTAAATACCAAATTCGTAACACTGCCCCCTTCCCAAGGACTGCACGTCCCGGGCAGTACAATCCCTGGACAGGAAGCCAAACTTACAACTAAGACATAAGTGCAATACTAAGCATTACGTTACAATAACAAACAACATGAACAATAAATGCAATATGCAATAACTAGCTTTAAACAAATCAAATACTATCAAATGCTAAATACAAGTCAAATCATATACACATTTAGAAACAAAAAGGAACATGGTATTACACTATTTATAAATATTTACACTACGAACTATGGCCACAGTAATGAGCTAACCTGTCGTAATGAACGACTTTAGGTTTAGAGTTCGAAGACTTACGAATCCGAACCACGACGTCATTCAGCCTGTTTAGGGCTGTGTACGGGCCATCCCAAGATGACTGTAATTTCGGACAGAGTCCTTTCCGTCGAGTCGGATTCCAGAACCCCACCTTGTCTCCTTCGTGGAATTGATGTTCAGCAGCTCTTGTGTCGTAGCGGGTCTTTGCCTTCTCCGTCGCCAAGTTGACTCGCTCTCGTGCAAAATTGTGCATCACTTCAAACCGGGCCTGGAGATCTTGAATATATTCCTCAGGCGATGAGAGCATCCGGAGGGCGACCAAACAAGAGATCACAAGGCAGACGAAGGTCACGACCGAAGAGCATCTGTGATGGGGAATAGCCGGTAGTCTCGTGGACAGCACTGCACGCCAGTAAAAACAGTGAAAATTTCTTGTCTTGTGTCTGTTGGTTTCTGGAAACCACTAATGAGAGGTTATTAAGGATGGTCCGATTGAACCTCTCTACCATGCCGTCCGACTGGGGATGTAATGGCGTCGTTTGGGTTTTGTCAATGCCGAGTAGTTTGAAGAGTTCTTTGATTACTGCCGACGTAAAATTCCTTCCCTGATCGGAATGTAACTGAAGAGGCACTCCCGACCTGGAAATCCAATGCTGTACCATCACCTCAGCTATTGTGACAGCCTCTTGATCAGGAATAGGGTACGCTTCAGGCCACTTTTGGTGAAGTAATCAATGACAACGAGTATGTATTTGTTGCTATCAGCAGTTCGTGGCAGAGGTCCCAAGATGTCAAAGGGAATAAAACCATTTAATTTACAATTCAACTAACATAAGCTTTTTGGTGCTACATTGGTAGACGGTTGCACGGATTTTTGGCGATTTACGTTGGCGCAATTGTTGGCGCTATTTTTACAATCATCAGCCATCTTGAAAAACGCTGTTTATACGCATAGTAAAGTATTCGTAACTTAAAAAAAAATAAATATCGTTAAAAGTAATGGATTAATTTTTTGTTGAAAATGTCGTTTTTTAAGATGGCAGGCAAGTGTAAATAAATACATTTACTATGAGTATAAAATACTAAAGTAATGTTATTATTACTTTCATACAGCAAAAAAGAGAATAAAACGCCGCTATAAAAACATTGTGCCAACGTTTAATTGGATTAAAATATTACTGAAATTGAATATCGAATTAAAAACCATCATACCAACATTTAAAAGACTTAGAATATTATTAAATTCAAATACTTTAAAATACGTTATATAGAATATAATTAACATTAAAACATGTGACAATAATTATCTCAGCAATTTTTGAAAATAGTGTATTAATTTTTTTTAACAAAATTTGAAGTATACAATTATAAAATAAAAGAAAAATATGTACTTACATATTTTAGAGTCATTTAACCTGTTTTTTATTGATAAGTACCACAAAAAATCGGAATCATAATTGAATCGGCTCCTTTAACCATCTTCATCTGTGATACACATTTCTAGCACTTCATTGAAGAAGCAATTAGCGAGGTTTCCTCCAAAAATTTAAAATAAATTTCCCTCTGACGCTATTAACAATTTATAAATAAATCTTTGATTAGGAAAGACAGGTTGGCCAAAATAGGGTCTCAAAGGGCAATTTTTTTATTCTAATACCAATAATTTTTGGTAATTACCAATAACAACACTCATCTTCGGACATATCCATTCCATTTGAAATCTGAGGAATTCGAAGAGATTAATAATAAAATTTAAAATGGCGCGGTAATGCACAAATATTCAGTAACCAATCAGGGAGCTGATTAAATCACGCATAGAATTAAAATTATTTAAATAATCATTCATAATAAAATCCTTTTTAAAACAAATGCAAAATTAAATTGTATTTTAATATTTAACAGCCATAAATAATGTTTAAAACATTAGATTAAATTTATAGATATTAATAAAACCAATTACTTTTTAAGTAAGGTGAAGTCATTGAGCTATGTTGTGTCATTTTAGCTATGTTGTGTCATTTTAGCTAATATGTGAACATATCGTTGCGTCGCAACACAACAGCGGGTTTTTGACGTTTGAGTATAAAATCAAAAATCAAGACTGAAACAATCGTTACAGACAACGAGTTTTATATTACACTCTTCACTATTGATGCACACCACAAAGCCACTGCGCTGCTGGACCGTAAGAATACCAAATTTCATACATATAAGGTCCTGTGTCATAAAGACTTACAAGTTGTAATTAGAAGTCTTCCAAGCTTTACTAATGTATATGAAATTCAGGATGTACTAATTGCCGAAAAACTTCAGATAAATAAGGTCATTAAAATGACTCGACGCAGAAGCCTAGAAATAGTCAAAATGCCTCTATTTCTGGTCATGCTCCTCAAAACAGAGCACTGTATTGATGAGCAAATTGACAATGACAAATTTACATACTACTTATCTAATGCATTTCACGATCTCAGTGGAATCATATAAGCGCCGAAGAGGTGTTACACAATGCTTAGATTCACCGCATTCTTTCATGCTGAGGATCAGCAAGGTGTGTGAAATGCAGGAGTGATCATGAATGGAAATCATTCCATAAACGCAAAATAGACCCCCCCTCTTAACACACGATGTGCCAACTGTGGATATTTTCATACTTCAAGTTTCAAAGGTTGCCCTGCTTAACCTTCTTCGTGAAAACACGACCTACGAGGATCGCGCAATCAATGACAGCAAAGTAATAATCAGGAAGCAGCCAGCTACCCATGTTGACGAGCTTTCCCAAAAATTTGAGAAAGCAAAAATCGTCGTTGGAAAACTTACAGCAGCCTTTGTCAATGCTTAATGAGTTTGCTGCTCTTAGAGGTAAAAGAGTCCCAAATTTTCTTCCGTCATCAGTTCCCTCGCCGTGAACCTAAGGATGTTCTAACAGTCAAACCCTAAATGGGACTCTTTCAGGATCTGGTAAGAGCGGTTTAGTTTTTCGCCGAAAACAAGAATAACGCGCAAACCATCAAAGTATCAAACAAGCATAGGAATTTTGGTATCAAACAATCATAGAAAGCGGGGAATACCTAGTGCTCTAGATTGCTGTGAGGATGTATGCTATATGATACACCAGCAATAGTGACGGTAGAGCAAACAACTACTTTAGTGGTACCGACAGTAACAATGAATAAGAAGTGCTTAACGTAGAAATATATTCATTTTGACGAGTAACAGGAATTTTTTTCTCAGAGTGTGTGTTAAGCAGTGTTTTCATTTTAGCTACTTAACCACCTCCAAAATGAAATAAAAGTATTATAAATATTAGACAAACTATCCGCAGTTTATCTTCGAAGAGATTCTTTGTTAAAATTTGGGGATACGGTTAATAAACGTGACAATGCGATAATTCTGAACATAATTTCTCAGTTATAAAAACATTCATTAAGTATATTATGCGTAATTGATGATATAGACGAAATAATTTGCGTGATGATTTTCATATATAACAGCTAATATTTTCTATTCCCCCCTCCCCATTGTTCAGGAAACATGCTACTAAAGACAGAAAACGTCTTTACTCTGTCCCCCTCTCTCCCCACAGAAACACTATATATCTGAAAGACATAAAATGTTCCCTGTAAAAGTTAAAACAGATTTCCTTCGATCGTCATGTAAGAAACTGTGGATACAAAGAAGATTTTAAGAAAATTTTCTATTTAATGTACAGAAGTTTCTTACATGACGTTCGAATGGAATCTGTTTTAATTTCTTTCAAATCTGAATTATGTGTTAAGAAAAATTATTAAAATTTGAGGGCTCTTGATATTTATTGCATTTTTACAAAATTTTCTAAACTGGGAAAAGTATTTAAAATATTAGACGAAAATAATTTACAAGTTCTTCGCATAAAAAAATGTCTTTTATTCTAGCCTACTTTCTTGCATTCTCATAATTTTGAATGCTTTCATTCTTAATCATATTGTTTTATAGTTGTCATGATCTCTTATTTATACATAACATGGAATTAAAATATTTCCTTTTAAAGTATTACCTCCTCTTCCATTGCTTTCTCCAAGAAGTTTCATCCTGAAGTCGATATAGTTTTCTTTGTCATTATAACTGCTACCACTACCTCTGTCACTAAGTCTTACAACACCTTCTCCTACTATATGGAAATACAGGCCTGAAAAAGGAAACAGAAATTGTTAGGAATACAAAATGTTTGTATTTTATATATTTATATTTAAAATTGAATAAGATTGTTAGTATTTTATATATTTATATTTAAAATTAAATAAAAATATTGTATTTTATATATTTATATTTAAAATTAAATAAAAAATATTTATATTTTTTATTGCAGATAATTTGATCAAATTCGAACTTAAATAAGAAGCAAAATTCTTTATATAACTATAATCTAAAGCATTTGAAGTTCCTCTTTTGTAAAATTAAATATACATTTCTGCACTTAATTGGGAAAATGTTGCCCATTTCGCACCACAGCCAGAAAAGAATAATCTTTTGTCACTGTTTTTAACGCGAAAGGAAGTTACTATATTACAATTTAATAACACAAATTTTATTTTTCCTTAAACATTTATATGCTAAATATATGATAAATTAATGAGCACCAAAATTCCTCTATTTGTAGTATCTATTACATTTTTACTGGATTGAAGTAAAACATAGTTAAATTAAACTTTAGAGCTTTTAAATCGATTTTTTAATTGAGTGAATACTTGAATGCAAGGGTATTTTTAGGAAAGAACAATCTTTAGATGTCAAACGCTTCTTTTGTTTAGAAAAGCTCTTTAAATGCTACAATTAAAGACGTAAAATAAAATTAAATAGCATTCTGAACATATTGTTGTATGCGTAGGAGTTCGTAATAGATTAAATGCACACAGAACCGATGATAGCTTAACAAAATTTATTTTACCAAAAGAAACACTTTACAGCACTGGAACTTTCCACAAAAGTGCTTGTATAGCTCTTCTCAGTATAACAGAACAGAATCAGTAATTACCACTTCAAACTACTAAGAACGTTAAATGCAACACAATGCAAAGAACGAAGCTCACACAATTTCTCAAGCCAGCTCTGAACTAAAAGCTAAGAACTGATGCTCTTTCTGGGTTTACATAGTCACCCCCCGGCTGGAAAGCGAATACGGTTAAAGTTACATATAAAGCCCGGATATGGTTACAGTTACATATAGGGATCAATTACAGTACCAGTTACATATAGGGATCAATTACAGTACCAGTTACATATAGGGATCAATTACAGTACCAGTTATGCAAGGAACGGACTCAAATGCTGCCAAATGGTTGCCTAGTTTGCCCACTTTTGGTGGTTCATCGCCAAATTTGGCGAAAAAAATTAGTGGCCAAACCCATCGCCAATGTCCGAAAGTATAATTTAATTTTTTAAATAAAAAAGCCAATTACGATTCTCATGTTGAACATTTTAAGAAAATACAATTTTTATTTAAACTAGCGTGAACAAAATGAGATATATGAGATCAGTAGCTTGCCTGGTTTTTGCTCATTATTACAATCATTATCTCAGTAATGATAGTTCAATAATATACGATAAAAATAAGGAAATGAAAGTTAACTTTTCAGCAGTGAAATGGTCTGTTTTATTTTAATAATTCGGAAACGCAGATTTACCATTTTAAAAAGGGAACGGATGTTTTTCGAGCTGGAATCAAGTAGGGAAGCTAGGGGTTAGTTGTAACAGGGGTAAGTAGTAACAGGCGGTGGTTTAAAACATTTTTTGTCAAAATTTTCATTAAACGTTATTATTATTCCGAGCCCTATTATATAAGCACAATCAATATCTCACCTAAACAGGTAGTGAAAGATTGTGTGCACGTGCTCCATCTCAGATAGTTAATGGGAAAAACTATTTCGTAAATTTTGATTTAGAGTAAGTTAATTCATCTTTTTTTAAATGGTTTTACCTATTTATTTTGTCTGTGAGTTAAATTTTAAAATGCTGCTTTAATGCTTTTTACTAATCGTAATATTTTTTATAAATCAACATAAATGTCCTTATCAAACGTAAAAATTGCTTGTTTATCATAAAAATGCACGCAAGACTATTTCCTCTCTCGTATACAGACAATCTTTCATAGAAGATTTTCTGAGGACAGCTCTCTTTTAATTGCAATTCAAGAAGAACACGAAAATATTGATAAGGGCAAGTATCTTTTTGCATAGAATGAGTCACCTTATATCCACACGCGAAAATTCATTGAAGAAATCCCGAAGTCATGTGTTTCTCTTCTGCATGGAGTTATTTATTTTAAATTGATGCAAGAAATTGGCTAAATGTCTGAAATTCTCCTTTAGTGATATGTAAAAAATAAAATCTGTTAATCCGTGGTTTACAACAGCCCAATTCCCAAAGCTTGTATTTGATCGAATAAAATTAATTTATTAATAAGTTTCGAAGTTCTAAAAACCATCAAAAAGTGATTTAAAAAACTAGCCCTTTTATGCTTAGTATTCGCTATTAAGAAACGTCAACAGATTTTGAATGAAAAGACTGAATGTTAACACAATGAATATGTTTAGATACTTCAAGAAAAAGATCGGAACATTTTCAGAACTTTCGATATCAAATTATTGATTTTTGGAAGACAAGAAAAGAATAAAAGCGGTGATTGGGACAAATCTTCTTTCATCAGTTGCGATATCATCAATCACCTCTATCGATGAACTATTTTCTTCTTTTCTAAGCTTTTCCTTCAAGTCTCTTCAAGGGAGGGAGGAAAGCTTTTCAATTTGTTTTTGCTGATATATTTTTAGTTCCTCAGCGGAAATTAAAAGCTTGAACAGTCTGAAGTTACGTGGATTGTATTACGGAAGAGAATTTTTGGATAACAGGAAAATCACTTTCGCTTCTGGAAAATGTCGAAAAATTCAAATTTGAAAGTGAAACTTTCAATCCCAAATTAAGTCCCATTGATACCATAGTATCTATTTATAAACGTGTCAGAGCATTGTTTCACTATAAGCTGCAACTGAGCCAAGACTTTTTATCACTAAGTTAGGAGTTTGATAGCTTTTCATTAGAAAGCAAAATTTTATTAAATATAATAGACTACATTTCTGACTATATTGACCTTTTTGCCCATTATATTTTCTCATGTGAGTTTCAATTAGATTAGAACATGTAGATTCTTAACTGTAATGGAATTTACTCAGAATAAATTTTTCGTTAAATTATCATATGCGTCCAGACTTCCGATTTCTAAAGCATTTGCAGAAATCGAAAATATTTACATATATCTGAAGGTCTTTGTATTAAACTGTAAACAAAATCTATTTAATTTTTGCTGCGTTTTTTTGCTATTTTCTCACCCATCATTATCAAAAAGTAGTTTAGGATTGTGTAATATAGATTTAGGGTTAAACACAAACGTCAATAAAAATAATAAATAAATAAATAAATAAATAAATACATAAAAAAAAACTTTTGGTTTATTTTAGTCTTATTTTCCCATGATAAACAAGGGATTTGAGAATTCCATCTTTTTAAATTAATCAAGCATAACACAGAAAAAATATATTATTTTATGAGTTCATTTTTTTATACCAGGCTTAAAATATTTTTATTTATTCTCGATGGTTTAGCTCCCATCTGTAGCTAAGTGGTAAAATCACTGAAACTGGTAGCTAGACGGGCTCATCTACAAGGGAAGAGTTTTCCCCATGTAAAAAATGTCAATAAAAGAGAGCTTCCTTTACAAAAATCCTTCATAAAGGTAACATTTTTTTTAGGCAGATAGGTCTTGTCTGTTTTATTCGTAAAAGACAAAGTGAGTTTCGTTAGTTTCGTTTATTTGATTATGGCAATCTGCGTAAAGGGAGGGATGCCTTCGTAGAGTACTTTCTAGAGAAACCGCCTTGTATACACGTGAAGCATTAGGAAAACCAACCGAGTTCCAGTTGAAATTGAGTTTTAGTTAATCGAACCAAAGCATAGCAAATCGTGTTTCTGTTTCACTGTTATCATCAGTGTTACTCTCATAATTACAATTTTTATTGCTCTTCAGATCTGGACTATGAATTATTTCTTTGTCATTCAACAGTTGAAAATGTAGCTCGCTGTTTTCTACATTTATACGTTCTGAAATATTTTGTACAATTCTTTTATATCATTTTATGCCCTGAAATGTGTTTACGAATTCGTGGTCAGTGAGTGATGCTTTCATCCTTCATATTATATCACCGACATCTTCTACCTTAATGGATAACAAGAAGTTTATGGAAACACCACAAATAAAAAACATCTATAGGTAAGAGAATTCGAAAATATTACTGATTCTCTGCACCCTTTCTACTGTTACTTACATGTTCCGAAGAATTTCTTTAAAATGATTGATTTATATGATAGGTTTTGTAAAACTTACAAATTTTTTATTCACAAACTCTACTATTTGAAAACGAGCAGTAGCAACGCTTTTTGAAATAAAGCATTTTTATTTACAACGCGCGACACTGTTGCCACTCGAAAAAATGAGTGCGAAAATTAACGCTTTCAGCGTTCTAAATTAACATTTCGGCTGACTAAAATCGTACGAAGATGGGAATAGTCAAAATGGCTTTCCACGAATTTTTGGAATCGGTAATAATGTATTTAATGTTTGGCGATACTATTTTTATTTCATCGTAAAACTTAAAAATTTTTTATTAACAAACTCTAGGATTTGAAAGCGAGCAGTGGCAACACTTGTCGAAATAAAGCAGATTTTTATTTCCAGCGTGCGAGACTGTTGCCACTCGGAAAAAATGAGGGCGAAAATTAGAGAGGTTTTAATTAATATCTCTGATTTCGGCTACGTTTGTTTCGTAAAAAGTAGACATCGACCTTTTCCAGGACCCAGAAAAGAATTGTAGAAAGTTTGGTGACGATAACTATAGTAGTGACTGAGTTATTAGCGAATAAACAAACAAACTTTCTTATATATATATATAGATGAATGGTACTCATTATATTTTTATAGAAGTCCCAAAAGGAAAATTGATTAAACTTTCTACACCGTTACTCCCATGCTTTGCATTTTGTTTCTTACTTTTAAAAGAACATTACATAATTATGGTCCGCAGAAAAGTGATTGTAGCGCCTGTTTGCTTTTGCCTGTAGGCTAATTTTGTATTTATTAAT